CAGTCTTTAGTGTCACATTTTTTTTGCATGATGCGATGAAATGCGATGATGATGAAAACCGTGATGCGTTTTTCAGGATTGTTTGCATGGAATGTTCAAAGGAGCAGATTTTATTTGAAGTGTACACGTCTTAACTGTTAATTGATTAATGCATCCTTACTTGAATAAAAGCTTTCCTAGCGTTTGAAAAAGAGAAACCCAAGATCTCAACCTCTCTCAAACACCTTTCAGAATCGTCCTCCTTGGATGAATTCAGGCCCTACTGATAACAGGAATTTCCATGGCATGCACCAGGGTCCTGGTGGCCCTCACAACTTCCCTCCACCAATGCCAAGCATGGGTGGCCCTCCTATGCCGCCAAACCCCAATGGAATGCCTCCACCCTGGATGCAGCCGCCACCTCCTCCAATGAGCCAAGGCCCAGCACCACCCGGACACCCCATGGGTGAGTACAACCGGTGATGTTCAGGATTTCAGTTCTATAATTTCTTCTTAATGGAGCAAATAACATCTCTGGAAGGATAGAGGTACATAACTTGATATTTTCTTCCATTTATATTGGGAACATTTCCCATAAAAATCCAGACTTGCATTTTTATTTTGGAATATTAAAATATGCAATGCTGTCATACTTGGATACTCAGTGTTCCAGAAAGCTAAAACTGTTTCCTTCCCTTGTCTGGTGATCAGGTTTATTGCCGCCACCCATGGGTATGATGCCCCCGCCTCCACCTCCCCCCAACAACCAACCACCACCTCCACCCTCAGGACCTCTGCCACCATGGCAACAGCAGGCCCCTCCCCCACCACCCACCAGCAGCATGGCAACCAGCGCTCCACTGCCTTGGCAACAGAGTAAGTGTATTACAGTAGTACACAGTTGATGCCATTTAAAGGGTTTCCTTTGCCTCAGACTGACTTGTTTTTTTGTTTTTCCAGATACAACCACCACATCCACCCCTGCCACTGGAAATCTGCCACCCTGGCAACAGCCTCAGCAGACGGCCACCTCAGCCACTCAGCCCCCTCTGCCCATGGGCACCCCCTCTATGGTGCCGCCTCCACCTGGGGTCCAACCCCCACTTCCTCCTGGTGCACCACCTCCTCCACCGCCCCCTCCACCTGGCTCAGCAGGCATGATGTACGCACCTCCTCCCCCACCCCCACCCATGGACCCTAACTTTGTGACCATGATGGGGATTCCCGGAATGCCACCTTATGGGATGCCCCCTGCGCCTCCACCGCCTCCGCCCCAGAGTTAAAGGCTCCGTTTAGTCTCTATGGCCCTGTGACCATGCAGTAATGCCTAAAATATACATCACAGAACTGTACCTAGTTCTGTTCATTTAACAGCTTGATGTGATTAGTTGCTAAAGGTTTATTTTTCTTTTGATTGGCCTCGGTTCAGATTTGTTTCCCATGCTTGGACACAGAAATCGAGCTAGTGAGAGAGACTGAGATCGTGGTTAATTTGTAAATTTGCTTCAATTGTAATGATTTTTAACTGTAGTATTTGATCTGTTGGTTGAATATTTGTTCAAAATGTTGATGTGGAGGGAATGTGTGTTTTTTTTTTTTTTTTGAACCCTCTCCAGTGAGTAAAGGTGACTTCTGCTTAAGATTCAGTTAGCAACATTCCAACAGGTGTATAAACAACCATTTACACTCTTAACTAGCTGTGCATTTGTTGCTGCATAGTACAAAAAGACATTTATGTCTTCAAGATGTTGTAGATGATTGGCTTACACTATTAGGTGGTCAGTATAATTTGTGCTCACCTTGTATCCCATCCATCCCAAAATTGTTTTTATTTAAAAGAACTTTTCATTAATTGCCTTCCACCAAATGTATTTCAATATTTTTGTAATGAAGCATTCAACTAAATAAAAGTTGGCATGGTGTTGAATTGTCATCTCTCACATTTGTTATACCAGCATCAAGTCTTAACTCAGATTCACTGGTTGATGGTGAGGGTTTTTCCCTTCCAAAAGATGCTGTTAAACCTTTCAAATGGAAGCAATTTTGTTTTTGATTCAAAGATTAAGTTATGTATGCAGTTTTCACTATTCTCTTCTGGATTTAGAGCCTGTTTCCCTGGTCACCACAGCAAGAATGTTTGCGGTCTTCTTCCCCATCTTTCTTTTTCCCAGGTAGTTGCCTTGGTTTTTACTAGTTGTATATGTGGTGTTTTCTTTGTGCTTAACACCTAGTGTTTAAAAACACAAGTTTGTTGTCATGCTGCAAAAAAAGAATGGGTGCTTTAACTTAATATGAAGTGGCTGTTGCTCCGATTTACTTTGACAAAATTGATATTCCTGTTCTGCACAGAGTATATAAGATAAAAGTACAGTCTGAGAATGTGTATTGCAGCTGAACAAGCTAATATGAGGCCACAATAACAAGAACCTCAAGTTACATGGTAGCTCAGGGCTGTCCAAACTCGGTCCTGGAGGGCCGGTGTCCTGCAGAGTTTAGCTCCAACCCTAATTAAACACACGTGAACCAGCTAATCAGCTAACTTGTTGAGGCAAGTTGGAGCTAAACTCTGCAGGACACCGGCCCTCCAGGACCGAGTTTGGACAGCCCTGTGGTAGCTCATAGAAGGTTCTTCTGGGAACATTGTAAGCTAGTAATTTGGTTTTTGATGGACATTGACGTCAAATTGGACATTGACATCAAATAAAAAAAGTTTATTGCTGTTCAAATTTATTCAAAATGCTCAAATTCTGCGTTGTAATGCATATACAGGTGCATCTCCAAAAATTAGAATATCGTGGAAAAAGTTCTTTTTTGTAACTTATTTCAAAAAGTGAAACTTTAATATATTCTAGATTCATTACATGTAAAGTAAAAAATTTCAAAATTGTTTTTTGTTTTAATTTTGATGATTAAAGCTTACAGCTCATGAAAATTAAAAATCCAGTGTCTCAATTAAATGACCATTGAATTTCATTAAATGACCATCCCTACAGTATAAATTCCTGGTTATTTCTTGTTCTTTGAAACCACAATAATGGGGAAGACTGCTGACTTGGCAATGGTCCAGAAGACAATCATTGGCTATGTTTACATGCACAATTTTTGGTTCAATCGGACTGAATTCATTCCGATTGATGAATCTGAATGTAGTGTTTACATGAACGCTAGAGAAAGTGATTGGTTTGATGTGCGTTTATATGTCACAAGCTTCAAATCGGAATTGATTTTTTTTGACATGCGCACACTGCACAGAGTTTCTCACTGTTTGCACATAACCACTCTCCTACACGGTTTATGTTTTTAACAGCAGAATTAATATTTATTAATTTATGGATAAATATACATATAAACTGCTGTGCCGTGCTGCTCATATTTATCACATAGTAAAAATTTCCCAAAACGGGTTGCCTGTGGATGAGAATCCAAAACAAGGACTGGTGGGAGGTTGTCCTGCTCCACTTCATAGTTGCCGAGTGAAAGGAGAGTTTTATAATGACAGGACATGCATTTATAATACAACACTTTATTCAAAAGGAAGAACCGCTCGTTCCACGCGTCATACGTCACTGAAAGGGGTGGCTGTTCACAGAGTGCTGTATCAAAGCATATTAAATGCAAAGTTGACTGGAAGGAAGAAATTGAGTAGGAAATGGTGCACAAGCAACAGGAATGACTGCAAGCTTGAGAATACTGTCAAGCAAAGCTGATTCAAACACTTGGGAGAGCTTCACAAGGAGTGGACTGAAGCTGGAGTCAGTGCATCAAGAGTCACCACGCTCAGACATCTTCAGGAAAAGGACTACCAAGCCACTTCTGAAACAGAAACAATGTCAGAAGCATCTTATCTGGGCTAAGGAGAAAAAACTGGACTGTTGCTCAGTGGTCCAAAGTCCTGTTTTCAGATAAACGTACATTTTGCATTTCATTTGGAAATCAAGGTCTGGAGTCTGGAGGAAGACTGGAGAGGCACAGAATCCAAGCTGCTTGAAGTCCAGTGTGAAGTTTCCGAAGTCAGTGATGATTTGGGGTGCCGTGACGTCTGCTGGTGTTGGTCCATTGTGTTTTATCAAGTCCAAAGTCAATGCAGCCGTCTACCAGGAGATTTTGGAGCACTTTATGCTTCCATCTGCTGACAAGCTTTATGGAGATGCTGATTTCCTTTTCCAGCAGTACTTAGCACCTGCCCACAGTGCCAAAACCACTTGGTTTGCTGACCATGATATTACTGTGCTTGATTGGCCAGCCAACATGCCTGACCTGAACCCCATGGAATCTATGGGATATTTTCAAAAGAAAGATGAGAAACAGTCGATCCAACAATACAGACGAGCTGAAGGCTCAATAGTGCCTCAGCAGTGCCACAGGCAGATCGCTTCAAGCCACACCTCACTGATGCTGTCATTTGTGCTAAAGGAGCCCCAACCAAGTATTGAGTGCATAAATGAACTCTTTAAAGAATTTGAACTTTTCTGTTTTGCAAATCCTTTTTTTTTATTATTGATCTTAGGAAATATTCTAATATTTTGAGTTACTGGATTTTTAATTTTCATGAGCTGTATAAGCCCTAACCATCAAAATTAAAACAAACAAAAAAAACGTTTGAAATGTTTTACTTTACATGTAATGAATCTAGAATATATGAAAGTTTCCCTTTTTGAATAAGTTACAAAAAAATAACTTTTTCACGATATTCGATTTTTTTTTTAGTGCAACTGTGCTAGAGCCTTTAAATGGGTTTTTAACGTTTTGTGAGTGCGCCACGTGATACTGGTACCCTCAAATTTATCACATTTTTCTTGCTACTGTAATCTCAGTTAACAGTGCGCGAATTATTCAGTGACCTTCAGAGTGATCAACATTCTGTATAATTTTTTATGCATTCTTTTGTGTAAGCAGTCGCGCAATTGGCTTATGTGACCCCAACTGATCAATTTAACCAATACTAACCAGTGTTTAATGAATTATGACCCGCCCAGCCTGTACATATATAGTAGCCATGTATATATAGAGGGAGTGTGAGCGCCAATGAGCACGCTTGACCCTGAAGCATCTGCTGGAGATCACAGTGACGCGCACACGCAGGAGGCATCACGTACACTGTGTCCCTGGTGCGCCAAACCTCCTATTATATAACAATCTACAAGATGTCCAAGCCACTGACGGACCAAGAGAAGAGGAAGCAAATTTCCGTGCGAGGTCTCGCCGGGGTTGAAAACGTCGCAGAACTCAAGACCAATTTTAATCGCCATCTGCACTTCACTTTGGTTAAGGACCGTAATGTTGCAACGAAGCGCGACTACTACTTCGCCCTGGCGCACACCGTTCGCGACCATTTGGTGGGAAGATGGATCCGGACGCAGCAGCATTATTACGAGAAAGACCCTAAAGTAAGAAACTCAAATGCCGCAGTTTCACCCTTCAGTCCGGGGTCGCACGTACACCACCGACAGACGGGAGGAGGCTCAAATCACACAACTGGCGACATAATGTTGCGCAGTAGAGGCTAGAGCCGCAACTCTGCAAAATACAAAAAAACACAACATTTTTATCTTTCTTGCAAGTGTAATACTGTTGTATTTATATTGCATCAGGAAATGCCGCTTAATGCATTAATGGTTCGGCAGATGGCAATGCCTTTTTTCAACAATTGCATAAGCTTTCATGACTGATGTCAGTAGCGACTGCATTCAATGTCCTGCAGATCAAATCACACGAATGTATGGAAAGAGTGTGCCCTTGACAACTGTATCAACAGGTCAAATTGTTAATTTTATCATTGTTGACGGTGCGAGTTCGATACAAATATTAATAGGCCTATATGCTCTTGGTATATGTTAAAACAAGTAGACCCAATAGCTTTCTCTTATGTCCAACTGGAAACATCAATCAAAGTACTGCACTGAACCGTTGAATTTACAAAACACACACACACACAACAAAAACAACAACAGCGAAAACATGTTTTCTACATAATTTCAGCATTTGATGCGGTTTTTATTTTTATAAACGTTACACGTTTAGATTTAAGTTTAAAAATCTTCAATTGATTGAATATGTTGCTGTCATCATAATGTCATCATAATTTCTGCATGTTTGTTGTGATTGGGTTTCTTGTGTTTATTTGCATACAGAATTGTGATTGGTTCAGTCCTAAAACCGGAAAGAGAAGGTCTGCAGTTGTCACAAGGAAGCTAGTTTACATCCTTGACATATTACATCATAATTATAGGCCCCATTATCAACTTAAATTTTAAATAATGTTAACTGCAGATATTATTTTTTCCATATAAATCCAAAAATACTATTTAAAAAACTATTTTAAAAAGGAAAGGCAAAAATAATCCTAAAACTTGAGTTTACCTACTTTGTAAGTACTTGTAATTCCTACAGGAAATGTACAATTCTGTTTTCTATTTTTTTTTCATTCTAAAATAAAGAGCTAAAACACGTGCAGTCTTAAAAATAATTGAAGGGTAGGATATTGTTTCTGTGTATTTGGAATTTGTCTGGCATCCTGGCAGGCTGTTCAACCTTAAATGCTGACAGCTAATGCTGCTATTCTTACATGAGCAATGTGTCAGAGACACAGCACAAACATTCTTCTGTCCTAAACTTTGTTATCATTTATAGACAAGAGACTAAATATTACAAACTAGTTTTGTGCACTAGCAAATCCTCCATGATAGTTGTCATTGTGCAGCCTTCAATGATTGAATGTTTTACAGTGGCGGTCAGTGAGGTCTCAGACGTCCATTACAGATTAGGCTTGTGTTGTGCACTTGTCACAATAATGCTTGTCATTAGATAGGCTAGTCTGCTCAGCAGCAGGGGCTTTTATGGCTCTTACTTCACTGTTGCTCGAAATGGCTCTCAGCTGTTGCCGTTAAATATTTAAAAACATTTTTTTTAAATAAAAAAAATGCTCTTTTTAAAATTGTATTCTTTATTTTTTTCACATTTCTCCTTGTTTGTCTCACCTTTAGCGTGTGTACTATCTCTCTCTGGAATTCTACATTGGACGGACTCTTCAAAACACCATGGTAAACTTAGCTTTGGAGAATGCCTGTGACGAGGCCATCTATCAGGTGAGGACATATTTACAAATATTTCAAGCAAACCACAAACCCATTCAAAAAACCCATTGCATTTAGGATGATGGAACCGCAAGTGTTAAAATTCTAACTTGTTTTTGAGTTATGGCCTATAGGAATATGTCAGCCTTGCAGTACTCTGCAAGGAAGTAAATGTGAATGAATTGAAGTGTGAAATTTCTGCACCCCTAGTGGCGCAAAAAACAATTGCAATCTGGTGAATGGTCCTACTGCAGGGGTGTCTAAACCTGTTCCGGTTCCTGCCAACGTCCTAGAGTTTAGCTCTAACCAGCTCCAACACACTTGCCTGGAAGTTTCCAGTGAGTCTGAAGATCTGGATTAACTGGTTCAGGTGTGTTTAATTATGGTTGGAGCTAAACTCTGCAGGATGCAGGTTTGGACACCCCTGTCCTACTGTGTTCTACATAACAACATTGGCTCAGCCAGTGGTGTGTGTGTTTGGTGTGGGACTATTCATTTGTTCAAATAGAGGAGATCTATAATACATGGGGGACATTATCAGTTAGTAGTCCATTCATCTCAGTGCTTTAACCTTTAAAAATAAAATTTTGTATAAAGAAAGAGGTCATTTTCAGTCATCATCATAACCAGTGATAGCATAATAATAAATAAGGAGCTATAAATAAAGAGCTTATGGTTGAGATCTAGAGCTTTATGCATTGTAATACTTGCTAATCTTAGATCAGTTGCCCCTGGTTCTTTAATTCTAACTAAGAAATGAAAGACAAATCATTCTAGATATGCACTGCTATGCTGAGAATGCCTACAAATATGTGTTTGATGAAAGATGAAACCAGGCAACAAAGCATGTTTTGTGTTCTCAGAGGTTACATACCTTCTTTGGTCCCTCTTGCTCTCATATTCTGTTTCTTCTCAGCTGGGTCTGGATATGGAGGAGCTGCAGGACATGGAGGAGGATGCTGGCCTGGGCAACGGAGGCCTTGGTCGACTGGCAGGTGAACTTAGTCTCTTTAAATGTGCTGATTGTGAGATTAATAGAGGGCTTGTTGTAATAGAGAGCTTAATTTCTCTTTTTCTGCAGCTTGCTTCCTGGACTCCATGGCAACCTTGGGCCTGGCAGCGTATGGATATGGAATCCGCTATGAGTTTGGAATCTTTAATCAGAAAATCGTGAATGGCTGGCAGGTAAAGCACACTTGCAACAATATCTCAGTGAAATGTATTTCACCTCTCTTGTTGCATTTGGGTCTTAGTAAATGATTGACATCATCTGACAGGCGGAGGAAGCGGATGATTGGCTGCGTTATGGCAATCCTTGGGAAAAAGCCCGGCCTGAATACATGCGCCCTGTGCATTTCTATGGTCGAGTGGAACACCACCCTGATGGAGTGAAATGGGTGGACACACAGGTGAGAGCAAAGCAACCATGTATCTACGTTTAATTGGAATGGAAATGCCATTATTCACATTGTGGAATACAAACTCATATTTGGGGCAGGGCTCTGAACCGGTTCAAGGAACGAAAACGAAAACCGGAAACAAACAAAATTTTGACAGGAACAGAACCAGAAACAATCAAATTTTATAGTTCCGAAAAGAATCGAAAATTTGAAATTGCCATTAACTGGTTAATAACGTTATTTTATCGTTCCATTTAATATTTGAAATTTGCTGTCAACCAATCACGAATTCCAGTAGTACGGCCTATGCAAATGTAACGCTGACGCCAACAAGTGAAATGCCCGCTCAGCTGTGAACTCATCATGGGTAAGTCGCAATGGCAATGCATCGGTGTTAGAGTTTATCCGAGGATAGTGTGAGAAGGATTCAACAGATCACACGCAACTGCAGCGCTTCTGTGAACGGAGAAAACAATAAAACTATAGGCTTACATAAAAAGGAATATAGGCATATACACAAAATATATTTCACTTAAATCATTGACAGATTAACAAAACGAAAGAAAAAATGTGCTGAGGTACGGTTCATTGTGACGCGTTCCAAAGTTCTTGGAAAGGAAAACGAGACAGCAGAAAGTAGTTTTCTTTATTTTGCAAAAGCTTTAGTTTTATTTATTTTGCAAAAGCTTGACAATTTTGAATAATGTCTTGCTTCTATCTGTATAACCAACCAGCGTTGGTATGACCATTGCGCTGGTACCTCACGTGCACACACAACATATTTTTGCGACATTGCAGCCTGTTCATTATCAAAATAAAATACAGTTAAAGAAACAAATAAAAAGTTACACTGCTCCGTTGTACAAAATCTGTTGCGTTCAGCGTGACCACCGCCTCACTGTGCTGTTATAGCTGATGTAAAGGATGATGTCGATGAATGTACAAAGCCTAGCCTATAATAAATAATATTTTAGCATCCAGATACGTCGCGAATATGGAAACATTTGGATTCGTGCTGAATGAGAGAGGTAGGCATCAGTTTCACCTTAAATGAATTTGTTTTTGGATTGACGTTTTTATAGCCTAAACGCATAGCCTTAACTTTAGAGGATTTGTTGTGGAGAGAAACTAATAACTGTGTTTATAATGTTTGTAAACATTTTGCTTTAGCTACCGCATTTTAGCCTACATTATTTCTGAATGTAATAGGGCTAATAAAATGCGACGTGAGCCTATAAGCTACTTATGTTTTTTTTTAACTCTCAAAATCTTATACAAGTAGCGTTTTTTTAACAATGCAGCAAACATTTTTAAATATCTTAAAAATACTTTAATGTCTTTTGATAGTTTTTTTCCCCTTTTGTTTAGTAGCCTACATTTGGCCAACATCTAGAAAAGATGATGCTGTATTGGCTGTGAATGTTGAATGTTTCCAGAAAAATACTGTTTTCAACATTGATAATAAATCAGCATATTAGAATGATTTCTGAAGGATCATGTGACACTGAAGACAGGAGTAATGTCTGCTGAAAATTCAGAGTTGCATCACTGGAATAAATTACATTAAAAAACCTGTTATTTTAAATTGTAGTAATATTTACCAATATTTTAATAATAATAGTTTTTACTGTGTTTTTGACCAAATAAATGAAGCAATTGATTTTTGTTGAGTGTAAGAGACTTCTTTCAAAAATATAAAAAAAATCTTACTGACCCCAATGTTTTGAACGGTAGTGTACATCAGGAAGGTCAGCCTAAAGCAGAACAACCAATATGCAAAGCAAGACCCAGATTGTGACATTTTTACATATGTGTCTGTACATCTTCCCATTAAATCTACCTGTTGCCTCACCAGGTCGTCCTTGCCCTTCCCTATGACACACCTGTCCCAGGATACAGAAACAACATTGTTAACACTATGAGGCTCTGGTCTGCCAAAGCTCCATGTGAATTCCACCTCAAAGACTGTGAGTTCTCTTCAATCAATCAATGAATGTTTCTAAGACATTTTAACCAGCCCTATAAGCCTTATTATTCATCATAAGCTTTCATTATAAGCCTTATCATTCATTTATCATTATGTAAATATCTAGTATTACATATAAATGCGACCCTGGACCACAAAACCAGTACAAAACCAGTACCATACAATACATTGTATGGGTCAAAATGATTGATTTAAAACTTAATTTTTCATTAGTAATATGCATTGCTAAGAACTTCATTTGGACAACTTTAAAGGCGATTTTCTCAGTATTTTGATTGTTTTGCACCCTCAGATTCCAGATTTTCAAATAGTTGTATCTCGGCCAAATATGGTCCTATCCTAACAAACCAATTCAATAAAAAAAAATTGACCCTTATGACTGGTTTTGTGGTCCAGGTTCACAAATGTAAATGTAATTTATATATAAAAAAGAAACCTTATTGACCCCAAACTGTTGAATGGAAGTGTGAACTGTATCTTTGAGCCTTGGATCTTTCTCTCTCCCTAAACAGTTAATGTTGGTGGTTACATCCAGGCCGTTCTGGACAAGAATCTCGCTGAGAACATCTCCCGTGTGCTTTACCCTAATGACAATGTGAGTGCAACTCAAGTGATTCATATTAAGAAACAAAACTCATGACTCTTGGAGCCTAAATGTAGACAGATCCTCCTGTTTGTATATGCCAGTTCTTTGAGGGGAAAGAAACTGTTAAAGAGGTCCTTCCTTTTTCTGTTTTGTTCAGGTTGCTATACAACTGAATGACACTCATCCTGCAATGGCCATCCCTGAACTGATGAGAATACTGATGGATGATGAGAAACTGTCCTGGGACACGGTGAGCTGAAAAATTCTCGTTTATCATGCTCAAAAAAAGATATGCAGTCAAACTATAGGACTATTAAATTGATTATTAGGGGTAATATAAGGACATAAAATTTAAATTGGCTGATTTCTAGAATGGAGCCTTTTTACTGAATGTGATGACATCTTAACAGTTGTGAACATTGTTAATCAATTTTTTTCTGCATTTAATATTTTCAATTTTTACATTTAATGTACATTTATAACACTATACTGTACCTTTTATTGTTTTACCTTGACGGTACATTTCAGAGAACTAGTTAATTGGCGACAAAATTGATATTTGGTCTTTTTACTACCATAATCAACCTCTCGATACTTTTTACTCTTGTGGGAACGCAAAAAATATACTTCTTGTAGTTTCCTTTCACCACTATAGAAGTTTACTCAGCTATGACTTTCTCTTCTGTGAACCCCAGAAATGTGAAAAGGGTCCATTAAATTTTGCCCATGTGGACCAACACCATAAGGGCGTGTTCACACTTGGTATTTTGTGGTGGCTGCGACTCTCCAGGACATCATCCGCAGGTTCAAAGCCTCCAAGTTTGGCTCAACTGAGGTGGTGCGCATGGATCTGACCACACTGCCAGATAAGGTAAGATAGTCCGGGAGCTCTTTGTTTCATGTTACACAGTGTAGAGAACATTCAACACAGTTTGTGTCATATCTGGTGTGATTTATTCATATGAATAATACTGAATAATAAAACCTAATGCATTAAAAACTGTTAAAGAGGTCCTTCCTTTTTCTGTTTTGTTCAGGTTGCTATACAACTGAATGACACTCATCCTGCAATGGCCATCCCTGAACTGATGAGAATACTGATGGATGATGAGAAACTGTCCTGGGACACGGTGAGCTGAAAAATTCTCGTTTATCATGCTCAAAAAAAGATATGCAGTCAAACTATAGGACTATTAAATTGATTATTAGGGGTAATATAAGGACATAAAATTTAAATTGGCTGATTTCTAGAATGGAGCCTTTTTACTGAATGTGATGACATCTTAACAGTTGTGAACATTGTTAATCAATTTTTTTCTGCATTTAATATTTTCAATTTTTACATTTAATGTACATTTATAACACTATACTGTACCTTTTATTGTTTTACCTTGACGGTACATTTCAGAGAACTAGTTAATTGGCGACAAAATTGATATTTGGTCTTTTTACTACCATAATCAACCTCTCGATACTTTTTACTCTTGTGGGAACGCAAAAAATATACTTCTTGTAGTTTCCTTTCACCACTATAGAAGTTTACTCAGCTATGACTTTCTCTTCTGTGAACCCCAGAAATGTGAAAAGGGTCCATTAAATTTTGCCCATGTGGACCAACACCATAAGGGCGTGTTCACACTTGGTGTCTTTTTTGACAAGAAAAAGTTGACAAGAGCGCTTTTTTAGTAAAATAAAAAGCTGGCAGCGTTTTGGTTACAAATAGCAGCCGAGGGCGTCTTTTGTTGCTATAACAACAGCTACAAAAGTAGCCTAGCACTATATGCTGAAGAAATGTCGAGAAAGAGTAAAAAGTTGGCTCTTGTGTTGCCTTTTGAAGTTATCGGGGAGGAGAATGTCGGTTCACAATGATGTTTGTGGGTGCGCAACATTATACGGGGAAGGAAACAGTATGGTGCTTACAACAATTTAGTCCAGGAGCTCCGGTTGAATGATGCACGGTTTGTGGCATATTTTAGACTAAGTTAGATACAGTTTTGTGCTCATATAATACAACTCCTTGTGCTCCGAAACTAGTACGACTTAATCTACCGGCTATCTTTCCCATTTTTCATGTTGTTTTTGTTGTTATGGAAATATGGAAAAGACACTCGCTTGTCATTGGTCAGCTGTCAAAAAGACGCTTGACGTAGGGCGTTTTTTTTTTTTTCAGAAAAGTTGAATTCTTTTCAACTTGAAAAGACGCTCTGAGCTGCAGAAAAAGACGCCGGCGGTGGCGTTTTAAAAAGCGCTCAGGACTTTTTTGAAAACACGGTTTACTCCATAGGATTATAATGTAAAACAGATGCTGACAGCTTCAAAAAAGATGCCAAGTGTGAACATAGCCTAATGTTGTACTCCTCTTCTAATTTCTGTTTTTCCATCGCTCTGCCACTACTTGACTTTCTGTCATACTCTTTCTTCTCAGGCTTGGGACATCACTGTGTGTACTTGCGCATATACTAACCACACTGTCTTACCAGAAGCTCTGGAACGCTGGCCTGTCGACCTGTTCCAAAACCTCCTGCCCCGTCACCTAGAGATCATCTACGAGATTAACCGACGTCACCTGGAGGTCTGGGAACAGATGTTCTCTTCATGGCACATTGCATTTGAAATTTACTTGTAGATAAAAAATAAATTTGATGTTTTTTGAAGGGGTTGGGAGATCAGTAACTGCATTAGGACTGTAGGACTGTGTCCGCTCCAAATAAGGAGTAAACTGCGCAGTGAGGTTATATAAACAACCTCTTCTGCTCAACATGACTCAGCATCCAGTAAATTGCAGATGAAGAAAAGTAACTTCCCATGTACTTTCTTGCCCGTTACGCTCTGTTTTGACCTTACATCTTCTGTCTGGTTTCTTAGCGGATCTCTGCGCTCTACCCTGGTGATCATGATCGTTTGAGACGCATGTCTCTTGTTGAGGAGGACGGACAGAAGAAGATCAACATGGCCCATCTCTGCATCGTTGGCTCTCACGCAGTCAATGGCGTGGCACAAATCCACTCAGACATTATTAAGGACACTGTGTATGTCTTTTAATGCGTTTATATTACAGCTCAGTGGCCCCAAAAAAGTATTTGGACACCTAAATCACATTTAAAAATATATTCTACTCTTTAAAAGTTTGGGTTCAGGAAGATTTTTAATGCCTCCAAAATAAGTTTCTCAAGTCTCTCACCTAGGCTGCATTTATATGATGAAAAATTCAGTAAAAACAAATGCTGTAAAATATTATTACAATTTAATGTTTTCTATTTTAATTTATTTTAAAATTGAATTTATTCCTGTGATGACAAAGTAAATTTTTCGCCAGCCATTACTCATAATCATTCTAATATGCTGATTTGGTGCTCAAGAAACATTTCTTATTATTATCATTGTTGAAAACGGTTGTGCTGCTTAATATTTTTGTGGACAGCCTGAAAATAGAAATACTTTGTAAAGTTAAAAATGTCTTTTCTGTCACCTTTGATCTGTTTAATAAATCCTTGCCTAACAAAAGTATCATTAAAAAAAAAAAGCCCAAACATTTGAATATGAGCATTTATTTTGAGGAAAGACAACATAAGCATATTTGTCCACAGCAATGACATTCATATATTTGCATCTTAAATGTCCAAATACTTTTAAAGGCCACTGTTTATATCAACATAATATGTCTGTCATTACAATAATTTAATGTAGTGTTTAGCCCTGGTTAAAAAAAGCTCTATCTAATTTGGTTGGGTTGATTCTGTGTTCAGTTTTAAGGACTTCTATGATGTGGACCCACAGAAGTTTCAGAACAAGACCAATGGTATCACTCCTCGTCGCTGGCTTGTCATGTGTAACCCAGGACTGGCTGAGGTTATCGCTGAGGTAAAGAACATTGCTGATAAAAAAGTTAGCAGTACATGTATGAAAAGGTAGGGGGCACTACTGAGAAAACATACACAAAGTATAATAACCATAGTAGGGATGGGCGATACCTCTAATTTTATTTTCAATCCGATACCGATATTTTCAAGCCCAGTATCGATACCGATACCGATACCGCTAAACTAAACTGATCTTTTAAATTATTAAAAGAATATAATCAGTAATTATACTTACTTAATATTAGATTTTAAAGCCATGTTTTTTAACATTTCATAGGCCTTTTTTGTTTACACTGTCAGAAATAAAATATACTATAATTGTATTTTAGCCCTTTACTGGGGCAGTAACCTCAAAGGTGCAACTATACCCCTAAAAGTGAGCATATTAGTACCATACAAGTATGCATGCTTTAAGGGTAGATACATTACAAAGGTGAACTTTTGAGGATACCTCATGAGAAATAAACATGGTGTTACACAAGTACTAAAATGTATTATTATTATTATTATTACCATGGTAAATTTGTGGTTACTGCCGTTTTAGTACAAATACTGTGGTAAACTGTGGTTACTGTAATAAAACCATGGTTAATTTTTGTAAAAGGCTGCCAGGCTGTTGTACCCCTAAAGGTGAAACTTTAGCATATTTTTTTCTGACAGATTTATTAACAGCAATTACAGAACATTTTTACAACTTTTAACAACCAGTTTAAATAAATTTACTTGCACAAACTAGCCAATTTAAAATAAATATTACATGTACACAAGTTTGGGGTCAGTAAGATTTTGTATTTTTTTTTAAAGTTTCATGCTCACCAAGGCTGCACTTATTTGAAAAAAAACAGTAAAAGCAGCAATATTGTGAAATATAACAATTAAAATAACTGTTTTCTATTTTAATATATTTTAAAATGTAATTTAAAATGCATCTGTGATCAAAGCTGAATTTTCAGCATCATTACTCCAGTCTTCAGTGTCACATGATCCTTCAGAAATCATTCTAATATCATTTGCTGCTCAAGAAACATTTATTATTATTGCTGCTTCATATTTGTGTGGAAACCGTGATGCATTTTTCAGAATTAATTTTATATATAGTAACAATGTTATGTAGGCTAATGTAATAATGTGGCAATGGTTTCTATAGATCTACTTAAGCTTCTGATGCTTTTGGGAAACACAGCCCTATTTGACCAAGCACTGTGAGCCATGCGTCAGCAGCGAACGCTGTCTGTGATTGATTGGTTCTGTCTTTCAGCATTTGCGTGTGTTCCGATGAGCAGGAGAAATGGTTCTATCCAACACAATTATTCGCTAATATACTTAGAAGCTTTTTTATGCACCGAATTTCTTGATAAATTAATAAAATTAATGGTTAAAAAATGCACTTTAGAATCGATATTTTTATGTGAGGATCGATCTTTTCAATACAACATCAGTATCGAAAGTATCGATACTTAAGGATCGATCCGCCCATCCCTAAACCGTAGTTGATTTTAGTCCAAGCCAGTCAAAAGCTTTGTGTGAGAAACACTGTGAAATTTAAGTCATAATGTCTTGTGTTAAACATTAGAGAATTGGAGAGGACTACATCCGTGACCTGAGCCAGATGAAGAACCTCTTAAAGTTTGTGGATGATGATGCTTTCATTCGAGACATTGCCAAAGTCAAACAGGTGAGACAAAAAATATCCCACAGTCAAAGTGAGTTGTGCATATTCTACATAAACATGATTGCCACCACATGATATATTGCTTTGTCTTTTTCAGGAGAGTAAGATGAAATTTGCGATGCATCTAGAAGAACAATACAAGGTGAAGATTAACCCACACTCCATGTTTGATGTTCAAGTGAAGAGGATCCATGAATACAAAAGACAGCTGTTGAACTGTCTGCACATCATCACCCTCTACAACCGTAAGTCAATAATAATTCAGGTTTCTCTTGAAACAGCTAAATATTTTTCCAGCTTTACAAGCTTCCCATTCAATGGTGAAACCAAGTCATGCATATCTAGTATGCTACTGGAAAGTTTGGAACATTTATTTCATAACTTTTCATATACTACTTTTATTTCAGTAGGCAGTATACAGTGTGTACTGTGCAGTATGCACTAAACAGCAAGCTATTATTCCTTTCCAAAGATAGTCTACTTTACCTTTACTATTTTGTGTGATCAGGCATCAAGAAGGAGCCCAACAAGGCCTGGACTCCTAGGACCATTATGATTGGAGGAAAGGTTAGACTGATCACTTCACTGACCAATCTGTTCTATTCTACTCAAGTTTGAATGCTAATTGGCTAAATCATGCATCTTCAAGGCCGCTCCTGGGTATCACACAGCTAAGATGATCATCAAACTTATCACAGCAATTGGAGAAGTGGTAAATAATGATAGTGTGGTGGGAGTTCGTCTGAAAGTCATCTTCCTTGAGAACTACAGGGTTACACTGGCTGAGAAAGGTAGAATGCAAACTTACTGACAGATTTTATCATTGGATCAGCTTCCTGTCTTATTAATTAATTCACATAACTCGCTCTGCTTGCTTCTTTTTCTCTTTTTCAGTCATCCCTGCAGCTGACCTGTCCGAGCAGATCTCCACAGCAGGAACAGAAGCTTCTGGAACAGGCAACATGAAGTTCATGCTGAATGGAGCTCTGACCATCGGCACCATGGATGGGGCTAACGTGGAGATGGCAGAAGAGGCGGGAGAAGAGAACCTCTTTATCTTCGGCATGAGAGTGAAGGATGTGGAAGCTCTGGATAAGAAAGGGTGACAGCAAGCTTCAATGAACGATTTGCTGAATAGCATTTTAGTTGTTTGTTTTAGCGCATTCATTTATTCATGTTTATGAAAGCTTTATCTATTTAAATTTATTAAAAAAAAAAAAAAAAAAAAAAGCTTTATCTATTTAAACAGAGTAATAAAATTCAAATGTTCTCAGTTTTATTGCACTGAAGGAAACGTTGCAAATGACTTAGTTGAAGTTGGTTTATTTCCAGATATGATGCCATGGAGTATTATAACCGCATTCCAGAACTAAAGCAAGTCATGGATCAGATCTCTGGAGGATTCTTCAGCCCTGGAGAACCTGATCAGTTTAAAGACATTGTTAAGATGCTGATGCACCATGACAGGTAAGAAAAGCAAAAACAAACAAACAAAAAAATCCAAAAAAGTGCTATGTCTTTTTTGGATATCTCTGTCCATTTCTCACATAGCCACAGATTAACAGTGATCATATAAATTGTTAGTTATTTTGGTTGTCTGGTGTGATTGCAGGTTCAAGGTGTTTGCTGACTATGAAGACTACATTAAATGTCAGGAGAAAGTCAGCGCCCTGTATAAGGTATGTATTACAAAAAACATGAAATGTTTCAGCGTATTTCAGGAAGAGTTTCTAGCCAAAAGCCTTTAGTTTAATCACAGCCTGGCTAAACTTTTATTTGCTACAAACTTAATAGGAAGGACATTTTCATTCTAGAGCGCATTTTATTAGACAAAAATACATCTGTACAAAAGTTTGGGGTCCGTAATATGTGTTGTTTTTGAACGAAATCTATTAAAAACATTCTGAAAAAATTTCTCACAAATTCAACAAAAATATTAAAGGGGTCATATGATGCGATTTCAAGTTTTCCTTTCTCTTTGGAGTGTTACAAGCTGATTGTGCATAGATAAGATCCCTGAAGTTGCAAAGACTAAAGTCTCAAAACCAAAGAGATATTCTTTATCAAAGTTAAGACTCTGCCACGCCCCCCTAAAACGGCTCGTTCTAACACGCCCCCACATATCTATCTCACTATGTGGCAATATTAGCATAATGCTGCCCAAATGTGCACGCAAAGAAAGAAGTTCTGTTACACCAAATACACAAAATAATGATCTTTAAAAAAGCATCATATGACCCCTTTAAGAAGCACTGTTTTAATAGTTGATAATAATACATGTCCCAAATCAGCATATTAGAATGGTTTCTGAAGGATCATGTGACGCTGAAGACTGGAGGCTGTTGAAAATTCAGCTTTGCCATCACACGGACAAATTACGTTGTAAAATATATTCGAACAGAAAACAGTTATTTAAAGGAACACTCCACTATTTTTGAAAATAGGCTTATTTTTTAAATAGGAAAAATATCGAAACTCTTTGGTCATTTTTGAGCAAGATGCTAACGGTCTAATCAGATTCAATGATCTATTCTAAGCTACAGCTAAAAGTGCTACCGCCAGACCCGGAGATCGGCTGAATGGATTCGAAAACGGTAAAACTCAACTGTTTAATTCTAGGGGAGTTGGAAAATAAGCCTATTTTCAAAAATAGTGGAGTGTTCCTTTAAAATGGTAATAACGTAGTAACATTACCGGTTTTAGTGTATTTTTGATTAAATAAAGGTGAGCATAGCATACTTTCTTCAGAAACATAAAAAAATGTACAAACCCCAAACTTTTGATCGGTAGTGTATGCGAACAAAATGAGTTATTAATATTTTTGGTCCATTTTGCCTGAAGGAGACTGTTAATTTTAATGTTTATATGTGACATCATTTTGAAAGCTGAATTAATAAGCTTTCCGTTGATGTATAGTTTGTTAGGATAGGATTTGGCTGAGATACAACTATTTGAAAATCTGGAATCTGAGGGTGCAAAAAAATCTAAATATTGAGAAAATTGCCTCTAAAGTTGTCCAAAAAACAAGTTTTGGATCTTTCAATTCAAGATGACTGTTCCATCAGTGACAGAACACAAGTTTATTTAAAAACATGTCCTATAATTCCCTTCTAATTTAATGTAATGCTTTAAAGAGCTTTAACACACAACAGAAAACCAGTGCAGGGACTGACTCGAAACGTGTTCCTTTTCCTCGTTCTCAAACAGAATACTAAAGAATGGACCAAGATGGTCATCCACAACATTGCTGGTTGTGGCAAATTCTCCAGCGACCGCACCATCGCCCAGTACGCTCGTGAGATCTGGGACATGGAGCCTAGTCTGGAGAAGATCGCAGCCCCAGACGACCCCCGCTAAGTCGTTCCACAGCATCAAAATCTTCCATCTGTTGTAGCTGTTCTCACATTCAGTTTATCTACCATTGTGACGATGTATAAAGGTGATTTTAACATTGACATGTCATAGAAGATGTTTCTCCATCCAGAATACCTCACAACCCTGCTCCAGCGACGAGCTGTCAGCGCATCTAGCTTTGTGGCATGTTAATAATATACAGTATGTGTTGGTGTAAGAATGTTAGTTTTTTTCTGTGAAATATTATGAAAAGATATTAAATATTTGCCTATCCATGCCAGCAGAACAGCACAGCCTCATCCTGGAGAACCGAACATACACTGTGAGGGCAAAGTATAGCAAAAACCTTTATTTTGCCACATATCACAGCATGATCATGACTGTTAAAGGAAACAATTTCAGAAACCACCAATTTTTCTTTTTTTGTGTGTTGTGGCAAAATGTTTGAATTTTGAATCACTTATACTCTATTTTAGTTTTGACAAGCAGTTATTATGTGAACAGTTTGGGCTTTAATGAGTTAAAATGTGGCACAATATAAAATACCTGCCTGTCACATGTTCTGACTTCTTAAAACGACCTGCCTTAACCATACAAGTGTTGTTTGTGCATGTTTAGGTCTAAATCTCTGCCTGTCTTTCATTGGCCTCTTGATGCTCATGACTTGTTCTTTCACCCGCAGAGCTCCTCACTTTAGCACATTAAGGCATGATCTGTCACTTTTGTCCTCATGAAGTGTTGTATTCTTTCCACATATACTGTTGTAACTCTGGACTGGTTTTCACACCACATAAAATAAGACCTGCAGGAATGATGGGGCCCTGCAGAAAACTTTGCTTGAATCCAGTGAGGTAGCAAAACTAATATAGCACTGAAGTGTGATTCTCTATACCGACCAGGCTGCGTTCAAGACCCTGACATGTATTTACTCTGATATATTGTGATAGACTTATATATTTAGAATAGGAAATGAATGTATGGTGCAGTGCTTTTGGAATTGCAAATATGCAATTAAACTAGGCATAAATTGGTGGTTTAGTGATAATGGATGGTGGTTTATTTATGTCACCCCTATATGGACTTGCAACCTAACCTGCAACTTATTTAGTTAAGCAGCTCCAGCCGCCACCGTCCCCTCCAGTGATCTTGTCGAGTGTTTTGTTCTCTCTGAATGTTCTGCCCGTATTGTGGGTAACAACACACACCAAACAGTCCTACTGATGCCCTTGAAGAGTGACAAAATGAAATAAAGATATTAAGAGTGATGCTGTTTCTGCTTTTTGCAAGTATTATGTTGATCTTACATGTGACAATACTATCTTTCAAAAGTTTTGATTTAAAAAAGAAATGTTTTTGAAAGAAGATTCTTCATTCCTCCTTTAGAAATCATTCTAATAATATGCTGCTTTGGTGCTCAATAAACATTTATTATTATCAAAATAGAAAACATGATTTTGTTTAGAATTCTTTATTGAATGGAATGTTCAGAACAGATTTTAACAATGTTAAAATCTTTACTCCTACTTTTTTTTAATTTTATTTATTGCATCCTTGCTGAATAAAATAATTAAAATAATTATATATACTCATATATATTTGAAATATGCTAAATGTAATGGATATATGTACTGTAACCAGTTAGCCTTTTAATCACATTTTTTCAAATTTATACAGTTATGAAATTATTTATTTTTTATACCAAGATTTCCCCCGTAGTCAACAACTGAAAGCTTAACATGCAAGTTACTGTGTAACCAGTTAGCATTGTAATCACATTTGATCTTTTCTACATTAGTTCTGAAATGATTTTAATACTAAGATTTTCCACATAGTCTTTCAATTAATATGAGATCAACAACTAAACGTTTAATTAGTATACAATAATTAGAAAAAATGCTTAAAATTGTTTATCTGAAGGACTTTGTTGTCACACTACTACACAATATAAGTGCTGCTGGAGAAAAATGAAATTAATTTCAGTAACTCCCCAAGACGTTGGGTGGCGCTATTGACCTCCAAACACGTCAAGTTCAGCCGTTCACGTTTTTGAGGAAGGGAACAGTTACTGAATTAAACCCCCCTTGCCCAACGATGCATCGGTACACGGACACCTTCCTCTTCCAGCGTTATCACATGCTAAAGGTCTGTACGGTCGGACTGAAGGCATCCGTGCTGGAGAGGCTGTGAGATGCTTTTGCCGGATGAAGTGTGACGCACCAGTTGACGGAGCTGGCAGACAGCTGTGAAAGATTGCGTCGGCATTGCTTCATCGAAGGACTTTAAAATCCAGATCACAAGACTTGGCGCCTCCGTAAAGTCCAGTACTAATAGCGACCACTACCTGAAGAACCACAGTGGTATGTATCAAACTTTTTTGCTCAGGTCCAGCCAATTCAGAGTCAATTGGACGGATCGAATCATTCAGAAGAACGAATTAGCATCGATTGAAGAGTCGCGTGACAGATGGCTAGATAAATGACAGTTGTGTTGTTTAGATGTGGTAATAACTAAAACATCCAAAGGGTAAAGTGTTATCAGCTACTTCAAATACTCAAATAGAGGACATCAATAACTAGGCCACTTTATTGCTCTAGCTCTGCAATAATTGACAAACTATCTGATGACTTTAAAAGTGGTCAATAAAATCAGTATTAACTAACGTAACTTACTCGGAAGCCTTCATACGACGATGTTGTGTTTTTGGAAATTGTTTGTGTAATATTATATTAGTTGGTTTGTAAAATGTTAGCGGAGCAAGATAAAGGAAGTGGTGGAGTTTGAAACCTGAGTGAGTTTTATTAACATAATTTCAGAAACCTAGTCGAAAGGTGGGTGACCGATGCCCCACTTTGCGGTAGGTTCAAGGTTGGAAACCGGTTCTTATGAATTTCCTGCACTACTTACTCGACTTATAGGCTACTAATACTTACACCGCCATTGGCTCTGCAGTGTAGAGCGATTCACGAACAAATGATTCATCTGCCGGTTTTTAGGGCATCAAAACATACAGCGCGACTAGCGTAGTCCGATTCTTGAACGAATGACTCGTATGAGCCGATTCTTTTAAGTGAATCAGAAACACACAGCGCGATCAGCGTAGCCCGATTCCTGAACTGTAGACTCTTATGAATCGCTTCATTTTGGTTTATTAATAACGTTCAGCGTGACCAGTATAGTCATTCAAATCTTGATAAACACACCATTTACTGGAATTGTATCATGTTTATTAGTGATTGCTCATATCTGCTCTGCTGGAACGATGTCGTAATTTCGCAACAGACTGCTGAGGACGATAAGTGGACGAAGAATAACCCCTCAGTCCACTATATGACCTTATATTCTCTCCGCTCTGACAAAGGTGATGGACAACGGAGGGTTTTGCGACGATAATTATCAGAGTGGAAGCAGTGATGATGAGCTGGTGGACATTTCAGATGTTACAGTGGACTTCAGTGAGGATGTCCCGCCTCTGGATCGAGATTACAGCGCGGGTAGGACGCACGCACTACAGAAGATATTAACCTTTTATATTAGACACACTGTACTTTTTTAGCTTTTATCAAAGAACTTTATGCTTTGACAAGATTAACTGGTTTGTTTTGGTGTTTAGGTTTTGTTTTACGAACAATATTTGATAGATTAAGCATAGACTACAGTTTGAATGGAGTATCACACACTTCTTTTGTAAAACATCTAGGTGTCAGTTTGGTGGGATCAGATCACTCTGCTCTCTGCGCAGATACTGATGATGCTGTGTGTCATGTCACTGACAGACTGTTCTCATACCAGGAAGTTCCTTTTTCATGTCTGTTTCACAATCTACAGCACCTTCCTCATTTCACTCTTCCTTCTTGTCTGTGTTTTACCTTAACCTCGTGAAGCCTGATTTATGAAGTAGTCAGAAAGTCTAGTTTCTTTCAAATGGAAACGTTTTAGACAAAATCTTAAAAAATTAAAAAGTTTGCATGTCGTTTTTTTTACTGAGTGTCATATTTGGTTCATATAGTATGATATAGTGCTCAAGGAGTAAAAAAAACTGAGCAAAAAATATGCAATTTGATGCAGTTGCTGATATTTATATGGCCAAAAAGATGAAATCATGATAGCTTGTAATGTAACTCAGTGAGATCTTTAGCAGTGTAGCAGACTAGCATAAAATGCATATAAATATATCCCAAAATTACGGTGTAGTAAGATGTTATTTAAATGCTTAAGTTACTAAAGCTAGTTTTTATTGTTGGGGTCAAATCATAACGCAGTGCAATACAATGATGATCGAGCGATTATGCAAATAAGCACTCCTCCATAACCTGATGTATTTTTTATACTCACATTTTAACACTATTTTTTCTATAAAAAAAAAAACTAACAAAAAATACGTATGGATAATCAGGTAATTAATAAATATAAGGTAAAAAAGGATAGGATAATTTGACTTTTATCTCACAATTCATACATTTTCTTGCAATTCTAAGAATTAATTCAGAATCCAAAAATAACTCTGAATTGCAAGAAAAAAGTATGAATTGTGAGATAAAAAGTCAGTATAAACTTTTCATGTTTATATCTCACAATTCTCAGTTTGTTCACAATTATGAGTTTGTGACTTGCAGATTCCCTTTATTATTATTTTTTTTATCCCATGGTGGAAACAACTAAGTGTTCATTTTGAAACTGTTAATTTTGAAACATTATAAAAGTTATTAAAAATTTATATACAAAAGTCAGTGTAGATTTCACAGGAAAAAGACACGTGTGCCACAGCCTGAAGTGGAACGTATTTGTATTTAAGGATTTTACGTGCTAAAATCCTTGTTCCAAGGAACTTAAATGAGTACCATAGTATTACCATGGTTGTTTATGGTACTATTATGTTAGTGAAATTTTCTTTATGTGTGCATGTGTTTTGTGTGGGTGTTCTGAATAATTCGAATGAAGTTCAGCATGAAAACCCTTTATTCTTCCAATGTTTGAGCAAACAATGGCAAAATACTAATGAATTGTGTGTGCCTAGGGCAACATTATGCACTCTGTGGGTTTCAGCTTTGTTTTCAGAGATGCACTGAGAGATAAAGAGAAAATAAAGTGAGGGAGGAGGGGAGAGATCAATGACAAGTATTTTGGAGAGTCTTGCTCATGGAGACAGAACTGTGTGCCCTCAATTCTGTCTGAGGTTTACAGCAAGCATGACATGATTATACTGATAAATGTACGAGACAGTCATGAGTCACTTTCCCAGGCAGGAAATGTAGTTACAGCCTTCGTGTGCATTTTACCACTTGTTGAAGTATGATACTTGTTGTCAGAACAAGTCACATAATCCGTTGCTCAGTATTCACTGGAGTTATGTCAGCACAGTTATACTTTAAAGATACCAGCAACATTAGCATAATTTCATTTCTTAAGAATGATTTGAAGATTTTAAGAACTGAGAGGAAGTACAATGAAAGTTCATTTTAGGTTGAGCTGCTGTTTTCATGGTAAATAAATGTCTATTCTCTTTCCTTCTCTGACTCAGTCTTTACTCCTTCTATTAATTTTTTTTTTACTTAACTGGATCATAAGTAAAAGACCCAACATATGAGACCAAAGTGAATTGAATAAGACTATATAGAACAGAATAATAATAAAAGCACACAGACTTGTTTTACAGAGCTTCTGGTTCCTCTTAAACCCCCATGCTTTAAACATCTTTTCCTCCTTAATGTTTTTCCACTAAGTCAAAGTACATCAGACTCAAATAAAGGTTTATGGGTCAAAGTCCACACTGTTCCCTTAACCTTATTTTCCCATAGATCTATTTGGAGCGCTAAAATTTTCTGTTATTATTTCCTGTTAATTTCCTCTTCAGCCTATTTGAGTATGATTTGAACATTCAAACATTAAAAAAGACAACCAAAAATGCAAGTGTAAGATAAAAAAAACAAACAAAGCTTTGCTGAGGAATGGCAAACGTTTTGATTACAACATGACTTTTTCAGCGCCTAATTACAATTTAAGATGACTCTTGCACCTGTAATTAAGCACTGAAGAAGATTCTGTTCAAAATGTTTGCTGGCCTTTTTTCTACATTTTTGCTTTGTGCTGTGCTGTCAGAGGCCTTGTTTCGAGTTGAGCCTGAATCTTTGAATTTGTATTACATTTTTTTTAGAACCAGTCTGAAGGCCTGGTATCTTTTTGTGTTAGACCAGCTAAACTTGTTTGATCTGAAACATTTGACGTGTGTTTCACTTCACTTAATCATCAGTACAAATTCATTGTGTGTATTAGGGCTGGGCAGTATATCGAGTTTGTACGATATATCGATATGGTATGATGAGGCAATACCTTTTATATCGATATACCTTAGTTTCATACGAGCGCATCTGAAAAATAAACATATTCATTTAAAATGGCTTGTAAGATATAGTTAACGTGTAGTTTAAAGCGGTTTGTCTCATGTGCTGACAGATAGGCTGTTTAATGCGTTTGAGATGTGGTGTTTTCCTCTGTGCATATCTTATATTTTACAGGTATATATTCCATCTGTAAATGTTAGAAAGTCATGGAAAGATTTTAATTTTGCTGTCAGGAGTGCATGAGCCTTCTGCACGCGATTCTCTGCTAAACTTCACAGACGTCAGTGAACGAGATGGCGCCAAACAGACAGAGCGCAATAAAGTAATTTTGACAAAAATATACATTTTGCTAAAATATTTGTTGTTGGACAATAAATGTGCCATGTGTAGAAGTTTAAACCTACAGGTAAGTGTATTTTTATGATAGCACTAACTATAAAATGACTGTAATGGGGGAATCAAAATAGCACTTACAATTAATACAATTAGTCTGTGCTTTTGGTGTTATTTGTTTTAAGTTTTAGTTTAGTGAATTTAACTTCTGCTTTAAAAAGCATTATGTTTGTTATTAGATTGTAGTGTTACAATGCTATAATGTAATGTAATTTTAACCCTTTTTTGCACATAATATATAGCATAACCTACATGATTATATTCACTGTATTTGTTTTCATAGCCTTTAATATGTATTTGTTGGACAACATTGGGCAGGATATATATATATATTTAAAAATTATTATTATTTTTTTGATAAATACAGATTTTTTTGTATCCAAATAGAAAGCGTACAAAATACAGAGATATACTGTATATCGCATTTCAGCCAAAAAATACAGAGAGAGGTTTTTTTTTATGTTGTTTTTTTTTTTTATCACCCAGCCTTCTGTAAACATACTTGGCAATAAAGCTCATTCTGTTATGACCGTGGCCAAAGCAGCTTGTCTAGTTATCAATTCCTGTCTAGTCCGATCGCATAGTATCATCTCTGAATGTAGCATTCAATTTCTTCAATTATAGTTCTTCTTGGAATAAAGGATTTTGTGTTTTCAAGGTTAGTCATTGTTTCTGAGTAAACATGCTAGAAGTAAAATAAAAGTGCTTTATGTATTGTGTAAACAACACATGTAACATTCACTGTGAATCCTGTTCAAACTGGCTTGTATTTTGACTTTGACTTCATCCAGTGTTATCTGTGGCTTTAAGTCAAGTCTGTCTGGCTCTGTCAAAGTGCATTACTTTTGACCTACACACGCTAACAGCTCTGACTGACAATGCATTAGTGAACTGATTGTTATCTGTTATTCCTCTCAAACCACAATGGGAATTGTCCATGTTTAATTGCCATTTTATTTGCATTCTATTTGCACAATAGAAAAATGGCATAGGCATGCACTGCTGCACGCAAATATGCATAGTGTCTGCTGGTTTCCCATGAGAATTTGTTGTGTTTTGTCCCTGTAGGCCGCTGTAAAGCAGAATGGAGGCCAAACAACAGTCCCAAGCTGATGGATCTACTGGATGACACTGTTCCTGGCATTGGCACCTACGAGGACTTCAACACCATCGACTGGGTTAGGGAGAAGTCTAAAGACCGAGATCGGCATCGAGAGGTGAGCGGGAATGACACTGCTTATGAAACCTCACCCTTCAGTTCCAGCTTTAACAGCTCATCTTTCTTTCAGATCACCAATAAGAGTAAGCAGTCCACAGTAGCCTTGCTCTTCAGCATCAGTGATGCCTTTTCCGGCTGGCTTCTGATGCTTTTCATTGGACTCATGTCAGGTCAGCCCACTTCCTGTTTACTTCCCTACTTCCTGTTTACTTTCGCACATCTTGATTGCTTTTTTTTCCTACTAAATATCAACTGCTTAATGGCCTCTGCTGAATACTTTTTTAATTTTACAGCACTTTCTGTGTTCATCATTAAAGTATAAAAACCCATTTCTGCCATATAAGGAAAAAATGCTTTGGTAAATCATAATTGTGACCAGGGGAGGTTTCTCCATTAGGGCGATTGTGCGACGCACCACCAATTTTTTGTTTCTTTCACATTCAACCACAGTGTGACGCTAGCCTTCACTGTTTGTTCTGCCTCTAAATAATCCAATCAGCGTCGAGTCACGTTTTGTGTAGTACCGCCCCTTTTTGGGCGATTTCTGTCAGACTGAGAATCGCCCCGAGTGCTCTCATAGACTTCCATACAAAGATCATTTTTTTCGAACTGCAGGCACTGCAATGCAATCTCTGAGTTCCGGGAGGGCTGGCACTAACGTGCTTTCGTCATCATGCGTAACCTTAACTTGTGCAAGGATTGGTGGGAACAGTGACATCCAATAATATTTAAAAACTATTTTGAATTTTAACAAGAAAAAAATGAAAAACTACTTTAATATCTTTATCAAATGTGAAAAAAGAAAAGAAAAGAAAAAAATAAGTGAGCAGTGTAATGTAAGTGAGCAGTGTAATGTAAGTGAGCAGTGTAATATGTGAGTTGTGTAAATAGTGATTTATGTGACTTCAATTATTATTAAACTGAAATTGAAGTAAAAACATTTTTGGAAAACCACATCCTGGCTTCAGTCTTCATTTGCTGCTGAATTGTGTTAACACGCATGTAGAAACATAAGGAGAGCAAGAGATTGATTGTTAGAGTCAGTTTATTTTTAATTAATACTATAGTAGTTCAGTTTCCTTTACATCTTTAACTAGCCGTTAATTTATCAATTGAATGGGTGACCTATCCTCATTAATCATGCAAACATTTGCCCCCCCCTGAGAGAATTGGCAGGAGCCGCCACTGATTGTGACCAAAAAAGTTGAAATTATGAGAGGGAAAGTAATTATAAGAATTTTGTTGACTTTGTATTGCAAATATTTTTGAGATTTCGTTTATCTTATAATTATTTGACATACTGTGTCATCATTGTGACTTTTTATCACATAATTATGACTTTCATAATGGATTTCTGAAAGCATGTTTTTTTTTCTCTCATGTCGGAAATAAGCTTCGATGGTATATAGAAGCATATTTCTGTCATCTAAGGATAAAGCATGCTTTGGTAAATCATAATTATAACAAAAATGTTGTATGAAATACTAAGTCATAATAATAAGATAATTCAGTTTTGACCAACATTTTGACTGTCATTTATACATTTTTGTCTCATAATTATGACTTGGTATCTCAGAATTTTGACTTTTGTGTGTTATAATTATGACTTTTTATGACTTAATAATTATGATTTACCAAAGCATGTTTGTGTGTGTGTGTGTGTGTGTCAGAAATGGGCTTTCATATAAAGAAAATTAGCGAGCAGCAGTATTACTCTTGCTCATAAGTACACAACTCATCACAACTATTTGTGACATAGGGAGAGCGAATGATACCTCAAATGTTGACAAGAGATGTGCTATCACTTTTCTTCACTGTCAGATCTAAGATTTTAGCCTGATGGGCAACATAAAAATTGAAAACAAAAAAAAACATTAAACCTGCATTGAAGAGGGTACTAGGATCGTATCTAGAATATTGTAGAAACTTGAGGATGAGCTTGTTTGACTTGGGCCATTAAGCAAACACCTAGCAATGTGCTAAAACTGCACTGTAGAAACCACATAGCAATGATCTGGCAAACTCCCAAAATATCGTAGCATTATGGGGGCAAGTCTGCATTAGCAAACACCACTCGCATTCTCTTTAGGAAATGTAAAAAGATTATTGTCGGAAAAATATGTTCATATGATGTGAATTGAAGGTCTTTTGTGTCCCATGTCTCCCAGGGGCCTTGGCCGGAGGTATAGACATTGCTGCCCATTGGATGACAGACCTTAAAGAGGGCGTGTGTCTGAACGGGTTCTGGTTTAATCACGAACACTGCTGCTGGGCTTCCAATGAGACCACTTTCCAGGAAAGAGACAAGTGTCCTCAGTGGAAAAGCTGGGCAGAACTCATGGTTGGAGTCAGTGAGGTGGGTTCTGTATTTGTCCCAGACAGGCGCATTGTGTGACGGAGATCCATGTTACCAGTGCGAGAGAGAGTACAATACCAGGAGGAGAATATTACATCTGTAATCATTTCATCATTATGTTGTTTTCTACCGCTTTGAATGAAATTTTGCATTCATTTTTCCAGTGACATGAGAGAGCGCAAACATTCGTGGTTATTGTTTTCATAAAATATCACACTGTTGCTGACATGTTGACAGATGAAGGACAGATGTATGTTTCCTTTTCATTTTCTGTCTGGTTGTTGTAATAAGTGTTTCCAATTTAGCAGAATCGAAGCTTTACAAACATGCTTAGCGCAAAGATTTCCAAATAAATGTATGACGGAGTGTTTTGCGAAGGCTAATGAAATGAGTTCCAGCTGCCTTTCTTCACTGTGGTTAGAGTTCTTCACTTGTTGATATGTCCTACCATTCAGAAGTTTGGGGTCAGTAACATTTTTAAAAATGTTTTTAAAAAACAAGTCTTTTATGATCAACAGTGATTAATTTATTTGATGAAAGATATATTAACAATTGAATATTGAAATATTGTTACAAATTAAAATGACTGATTGATTTTAATGTTTTAAAATGTAATGTATCACTGATTAAAAACTCCAGTCTTTAGTGTCTCAAGATCCTTCAGAAATCATTCTAATCTGCTGATTTGGTGCTCAAGAAACATTTAATCTTTTCAATGTTGAAGACAATCATGCAGCTTTTTTTTTTTTTCATTTGAAATAAAAATAACTTCTAACATTTCTATCCCCTAATTTCTAACCCCAAACCTCTGAATGGTAGTGTATATCACCCCTTTGTGGTACAAAGCTACAATATTGTTTTTGAACAAATGACAATAAAACATGCATTTTAATCTTAGATTTAATTATATTTTTACTTTTGTAAAAAAAAAAATGGTAGCGTATGTTCTTTGAATTTAAACATTTATTCCCATCTGAATTTAGATCATTTTTAGGATGCTGTCTCTTGAGTTTTGAGGCATTATTTTAAAGACTCTTAAACAAACACCTCATCGATGAGGCAGGTATAAGCTTTAACAATCCTCCTCAAATCGTCCAGCATTCATTTCTTTATTATTTTTAGACTCAAAATTATAAATCGAGGTTCACAGACTTTAGAATGCGAGTAAATAGTATGTAGCATGTAAAATAATTGTGGCCTAACTGTGAATATGTCCTGTAGGGGGTGACGGTGTATAAGATTCTTTTGTTTCACTTGTATCCTGTGTGTGTCCTGCAGGGGCCTGGATTGTATGTGCTGAATTATTTCATGTATATGTGCTGGGCTCTTCTCTTCGCCTTCCTCACAGTGATTCTGGTGAGAGCCTTTGCCCCTTATGCCTGCGGTTCAGGAATACCAGAGGTGAGATGCTCATACAAACTATATATGTAATATATCTTTCCACTCATTCAAGCTCTTTTCCCAACAAACCACTCACTGTAGAGCTTTTCTCCAGCCTTACAATCACATTGTCTCTTCTGCTTCACTTTAAATGTGATTTAAAAAAACACCCCTCTGTTAAGTGCACAGTAGTGAGTCAGGATTTAATAGCCGTTTTATACCTTAAAATCTTAATTTTTTTATTTTATTATTTTTTTCAGTTTTCTGTTCCAAACTGTCTGAGTAAAGTGAGATGCGGACAGTAGTGAAGTATTTTTACTTTACTCAAGTAACTTTTAAAAGTATCTGTAGTTTATCAGAGTGTTTTTCTTTGGAAAACTTTACTTCACTACATTCCAAAGCATAATGTCATACTTTTTACTGCACTTCATTTCATATATAAAAGTTGTTGTTTGTTTTACCTTTAATACGTAAGAACATTCAAAATGTAGTACTTTCTTGTACTCAAGTAAATCTTTGAATTACTTTTACTTGAGTAAAAGTAAGAAAGTAATAGATTTCTAATGCAATTAAGTATTAAATTATATTTAATATGAAACGTAGTGCAGTAAAAAGTACAATATTATGCTTTGGAATGTTGTAAAGTAAAGTTTTCTAAAAAAAAAAAAACACTCTGATAAAGTATAACCTGAGAAGTACTTTTACAGCAGAGTAAAAATACGTCACTACTGTCCGCCTCTGGATACAGATTATATCTGTTTATTATAGTTTTCGACAGTTCTACAGTTTTCTGTACTGTTTTCAGATGTTCAAAATGTTTTCAGATGTTCAACCACAATTGCTCCTGCTCTCTAACCTTGGCAGAAAGAACAATGAAGGGCTTTCTGACATAAGTCACACTGTCTGTCTGACAAAACCCCATGTTAGATTATTGTAGTTGTACTACTGATTTAAATTCATGTGGAGGAGTTGTCAGAGGAGATTTAAGGACATTTTTAATGGCTGTTTTTAAAACGATCCATTAAGACATGTTCGTATGCCAAGAATAACTGCTTAAGTGAATCAAAACCGTTCTTCAACTTATGGTCTGGAAAATGGCCAGTTTTTGAATCATTTTGAATCCTGAATAACCAATCCTGAATGCTTGCAGATTAAGACCATCCTGAGTGGCTTTATAATTCGGGGTTACCTAGGGAAGTGGACTTTGATCATCAAGACCATCACACTGGTGCTGGCCGTCTCGTCCGGCCTCAGTCTGGGGAAGGAGGGTCCGCTGGTTCACGTAGCCTGCTGCTGCGCAAACATCCTATGCCATTTCTTCACCAAATACCGTCGAAATGAGGCCAAGAGACGAGAGGTGAGAGGAACTGGGGCGGGAGATAAGGAGAGGAGGAATGGAGTGATGGAGAGATAAGGGAGAGGGGAGTGTGGGATAGACTGATGGAAAAGTAACAAAGTATTTTGTGTCTTGGATCAAAACTTGTAATGTAATACATTGATATAAGCCTCTTGGCTTGGTCTCTGTTAACTGATGTGCTGGAAGTTGCCAGTGCCAATTTGGTAATAGAAATAGCGAACAGACGAGGCTTTTTCTATACCGTATAGGCTGATTGTTCATGAATTTAGTAGGGTGAATATGCTCTTTATTGCGCATATTAGTTAGGAAATAAGAATGCAATGGAATGTAAATATATGTGTGTGTGTGTGTGTATCAGGTGTTGTCTGCAGCATCTGCAGTGGGAGTGTCTGTAGCGTTTGGTGCTCCTATTGGAGGAGTGCTTTTCAGTCTGGAAGAGGTAAGCATTTTATATTTCAGCAGTCCTTCCATAAACAAAGAGATGTGTATTTCTGACTTATGTTTCTGATTTTTTTCTTTTTCTTTTGGAGGGGTTATTATACAATCAGCCAAAGAAACCAGTATAAACCCAGACAGGCTGCTTTTTGAGTGGGTCATTTTATGATCATGACCAACTGAGAGACTCTCTGTGATTCAATGTGCATACATGTCATGATGATATGATTTTATTTGGCCAACAAAACAAAAAAATAATATAAAACAAACCGTTTTACTTTTCTTTATAAATGAACAAATAAAAGCCTTTTAATTATGAGCTCAAAATGGTTATAATTCCCTGAAATACTTTAACTTTATTCCCCACAAAAGATTTGTAAAATTTAAAACATTTATCATTGTTATTGTCCTTTGACTTTCTGTATGCATTGCATTTTTTATGTAATTTTGAAAGACACAAAAAATGAGTTATTGACTCTAAAATTCACATATACATTACTGTTCAAATGTTTGGGGTAGGTAAGATTTTTTTGTTTTTTTTGTTTGTGAAAATTATTTTTATGCTTAAGACTGCATTTATTTTGGCCAGAAATAGTGTTAAATATTATTACAATTAAAAGTAATTGTTTTCTATTTTAAGATTTAAAATATATTTTAAGTTTAAAATATAGTCTCCAGTGTCACATGATCCTTTAGAGATTGTTCTAATATGCTGACAAGAAACATTGGTCACACTTAACTTAAAGCCTTTATTTGTAATGCATTCTAAAGGTTTATTAAAGGCTATAATGCATTATATTTATAATAATGCATTATATTTATTATATTAATGTGCATTGTAATACATTATATCTTGTTGTTTTTTTGTTCCGAATTTAAATTGAATAGTGTAACAATGAATTGATAAGTGTTATAATGTGTTAACTGTGGTTCGAATTATTCATGAGACCGTACATTACATGATAATGTGCATTACAAGGCATACTCAATGTATGATAACTGAAATAATGTGTAATTTTATGTAATGTGTCCTTGCTGAATAAATGTATTCGTTTGCTTCTGACTTTTCACTGACCGCAAACTTTTTTCACAGTAGTCTAATGCTTAATCTAAAATTGTGAAAACATCTGCTGAATGTTGTTTTAACATCTGACAGTGACCATATTTCTCATGCATTTCTTTTTCAGGTCAGCTACTACTTCCCTCTGAAAACTCTGTGGCGTTCGTTCTTCGCTGCTCTGGTCGCAGCATTCACCCTTCGCTCCATTAATCCCTTCGGCAACAGCCGATTGGTCCTTTTCTACGTGGAGTTCCACACTCCCTGGCATCTTCTGGAACTCATACCTTTTGTGCTTCTGGGCATCTTCGGTGGCCTCTGGGGTGCTTTCTTTATTCGTGCTAACATTGCCTGGTGCCGGCTCCGAAAGAACACCTGCCTTGGGCACTACCCTGTCCTTGAGGTTGTGGTGGTCACCCTGTTAACAGCGTTTCTAGCGTTCCCAATCGAGTACACCCGGATGAGCAGCAGCGAACTGATCTCAGAGCTGTTTAATGACTGTGGTCTGCTGGACTCATCGAAACTCTGCGGGTACACCAGCAACAGTGGAAGCGCATCAGGAAGCGTTAATGCCACTGCCGCTAATGGCCTGGGGGCTCGGCTGGCAGGGCCAGATCTCTATACAGCTATGTGGCAGCTAGCTCTTGCACTGCTCTTAAAGATGATCTTCACTGTGGTTACATTTGGCATGAAGGTGAAAGACCCAGATGTATTTTTTGAAGGCAAAACAGATTCAAATATCAGGACAGTTTTGAGTATAAAACCACTAAATGAGTTAATATAATAAAATAGTTTAGATAGTAACTCTTTAATACCACAGATTTACCATGGTACAATATAATTTTGGAAAATTTTGTTTCTTGGCTTTATCACGTGACTAGTTTCTGAGCGGGTTTTACTGTTAATACTATTATAGTATTTAAAATAGTTTGAATTTGTTTTTTTGTTTTTATATTTTTTTCATTTTAATTTTAGTTTTAATAATTTTGTTATGTGACTTGTCATTTTTATTAGTTTTAGAATTTGTAAATATTTCCATTTAGGTTTATTTGTATTTTTAGTCATTTTAGTTCTTCAACTTCAAAATTCTTAATTTTATTTAATGTAGTTGGCAAGGCAAGATTTCCTAATTTCTTAATTATTTATTATAATAGTATTATATAAATAAATAAATAATTAGTTTAAATATATATATATATATGTATATATATATATGTATTATATTTAATACATGTATATATATTTATTTATATTTAATAAATAATACATTTATTATTCAATATTTTTGTATGAATATATATATATATATATATATTTGTATACACTATGTATGTATATGTATGTATCTCTATCTAATATTTTTACTTTATTTCAGCTTTATTTAAATTAGTGAAAACAATCATAGTTAATGGTTTTCAATTTTATTAACAATACCATTATATAATACTAAAATATTATATTATTATTTAGTTTTATTAATATTATTATTTAAATTTTTTGGTTCATCCTCTGAGATTGTTTATTTGTTGTTGCCTTGGGTATCTATTTATTATTAATACTCTCAGTACCAGAGGTTGGCATCATAAGAAAGGCAACAATGTGGTATTGATTCAGCCCAGTCACAATAAAACTTAAAAAAAAATGTTGATAAGTTGGCAAAGCATATCAAGTGAGCTCTGTCATCTCTATCTTTTAATTCCGTCTTGCTCCTTGTTCTCTCTCCAGGTGCCATCTGGTTTATTCATACCTAGTATGGCGGTGGGGGCCATAGCAGGCCGACTTCTTGGTGTGTGCATGGAGCAGCTGGCCATACGCCACCACGAAGGGGACATTTTCAGAGGCTGGTGCTCTCCAGGGGCAGACTGCATCACGCCGGGCCTGTACGCCATGGTGGGCGCAGCAGCCTGTCTGGGTGAGGGGTGATTCTTCTGCATCTCTGTGAAAATTTCCTGAACATTCATTTTCCAGATGATTTATTTTTCACTTCGCAACCAAATTGCCTTGTGCAGTCTTCCATGCAGAAGCATTTAATGGTGGCTTTCAGGAATGTAGCTTGACCTTGCAGAGTCCTTGACTCCTTTGACTGTCGCAGTTTTAATGAAGTGTTGTTAGTTTTATAATTTGCATTAGAGACTATTAAATCACTACATTAGGCTATATGCTACATTGTCAAATTAGCAAGCAAGAGTTGTTGTTTTTTCTTATTTCTACTCTAGGTGGTGTGACCCGTATGACTGTCTCTCTGGTGGTCATTATGTTCGAGCTGACGGGAGGTTTAGAGTACATCGTGCCCCTCATGGCTGCCGCCATGACCAGCAAATGGGTCGCGGACGCTCTGGGTCGTGAGAGCATCTACGAGGCCCACATCCGCCTCAACGGTTACCCTTTCCTGGAGGCCAAAGAAGAATTCCGTCACAAGACTCTTGCCACAGATGTGATGCGGCCACGGCGGGGCGACCCACTGCTGTCTGTGCTGACGGAGAGCGGAATGACTGTAGAGGAGGTGGAGAGACTCATCACAGACACCACCTACAGCGGCTTTCCTGTGGTGATCTCACAGCAGTCTCCGAGATTGGTGGGCTTTGTGTTGAGGAGGGATCTGGTCATATCCTTAGGTGAGAGTATTTTTATTGGTCACTCCACATATTTATGCTATTTACAGGGTTTTCTCAGTCAAAGAAAACAAGGGGTGTATGTGTGTATGAACAAACATCACAGTTAAAGTGTGACATCACACGCCTTTTTTCTTTCAAATGGTTACATTAATAGTGTTTGTTATATTTTTTTAATTAAAGTGGAAATCAGTTTACTAAATAATGTAAACCTGACTGCTTCACTTCAACTATAAGACTTTAAAAAAATGCACAACTACTTTCATCATTAATAATAATAACAGGAATAAATTGTATTGTAAAACAAATAAAAATTTTACTGTTT